AAAATCTAACCATGTTTGTTTTTTGTTGTTGTTGTTGTTGTTGTTGTTTTTTCCTTTCAAGATGCACTCTATATTCTTCATCTAATGTTTATGTATCCTCTGAAGAGTTGAAGAGATGAAGAAGTTTCCAGTTACTATAATTTCTTCTTCTAGAACTCTGGAAGCCCCAGGGACAGGTCACAAAGGAGCACTGGTCTGGGAAAATTACTGTGTTTTATTGCTGGACAGCGGCCAAGAGGAGGTGAGGTGTCCAGGGTATAGGAAATATTTCAAGGTGTTAGAGGCTTCACTGGAAACTCTTTGCAGAAGACAATAATCACTGCTGCTCTACATGGTTATCTTTAAAAGTCGTGTCTCTTTTGTTCTTTCTCAAAGATTCTGTGTAAACTCCTATTATTTTGGATAAAGAAAAACCGTGCACCAGGCCATGACTCTCAGAGAAAGTTGAAAGCATCATCTAAGTAAAGTACTAGGGCTGTATAGGTAACTGACCAGGAGACAGATGGGATGATGGAATCACAAGGCCTGGGGTACCAGAAAAGAGCACTTAAATTCTCAACCAACCTGGGAAGGGCTGCTCAGGTCTGGGGCATATTGATAATATCAAGAGGTTCTTCTGGAAAGGATGAGAGGATGGAGCATGTAGGAGTGGTTTTGAGAATGTAGGACTACTTTGGTCCAAAGCAGCAAGATGGGTAAGTTCAGTGTGGGGATGGCAGGGGCAGGTGGCTGTTCGGCTGGAGAGGGGGAGCACTCAGGGGCATAGGATTATCACAAATTAACCAAATTCAAGAGAATTCTGCACTAGTTCTTTACCATTTAAGACTATTCTGAAATATGAATTCCTTCTCCTGTAAGGAGGAATGGAAATTCTTCAGGTGTTCTACGATTTCATTATTGCTATTAAATGAATTGCCCAAGCTACATGGATGTGTCTTAACAGAGTTTATCTACAGCCTTTTGAGGAGTCAGGCAGCAGCTGTGGGGCATCATAATCCTGGGTAGTGATTATGTGGATGTATTTGTGAATTGACAGTATAACGTTTATAATGCTGTGCACAGTAATTTCTGTAGTGGTCAGCATGCACCTTATATTTCAGTCAAACAATCAAAAATGAAGAAGCAGCCAGCACTGCTAAAACATGTCTCTGGCTGGACAAGAGGGTCTCAGTCTATAGTTTAGCCTGGCCTTGAACTCACTATGTAGCCTGGGCTGCCCTTGGACTTGCAGCAATCCTCCTGCCTCAGATTCCAAAGTGCTGTGACCTCAGGTATGCATCACCACCACAGGCTGAGCTTTATTTTCTTAATCTAGAAATATTTTTCTCTTTCTTTTATTGATTGTGTATAAGATGTGAATGTATCAAGCATCTCCTATGTTGGAAAAATTAAATCATAAAAGTTCCAACAGAATTTGGTCATGTTTTTAAGCATACAATTACTAACTAAAAAAGCATTGTATTTTAAAATATTTTCTGCCAAAATCAAAGAATTTTGCTCATGTCCCATGATTTAGTATATCCTGAAAAAGAATAATTTCATGTTTTCTATTTAATTATGCCTGGATTACATCACGCAAGTAATAAATTCTGACACCGAGTTCTGTCAGGTATAAACAAGGATAGATTATTTATTTATTTATTTATTTAATTTTAAAGACAGCAATTTCCTGGTAGTTTATAGGTAAAACCATATCACTTGTGTGCTTATTTACTTTTAAATTTAAAATGGTTGTGGAGTAGTATTTGAAAATGTGAGTTGGAGAAGCAAGTAGTTTCTGAGATACACAGTGAGAAAAATACAGTGCAATTAAATAGCGAAGACCAATGGAAAGAACAACTATTTTTAAGAGGAAGACGTATACACATGTGATAGTCCCTTTACACATTTGGATTATTAGAAATTATGGCTCATTCTATAAAAATTGTTTCTCATATGCTTACCAGAGGACAAATCACGTTTTATGAATTTAAGATCTATCAGAATAGAAAAAGAAAACGAAAAAGAAAAAGGAAACTTTGATTAAGAAAGTAACAAAGTACTGAGAGTCATTTGAGATAGAGGAGGAAATCAGGACAAGAATGAAGTCATAAGGGAAAATATTCAATTTTAAATAACTCATAGTTGTTCTCAGTTAACAAGTGATCTTCTAAGCCTTGCTGAGCTGGCCACATAATTTCTTGGGGTCTACTTAGGCTGAGCATCTTCCAAACACAGACAAAAATCATACCCACAGGAGGCATCCTGTGGAGGAAAGAGGGGCAGAAAGTGGTGATCTCTCACCCTGCACCCGGAACCTCCAGACATGATCCTTTTGCACACTGGCATCTCCCCGCCCATGCCCCAGCTTCTCCTCAGAGGGCATGTTCCCTGATTCACTCTTTTGTTTTTTTTTTCCCCCAAGTAATATGAGCTCTGGAAAAAAAAAGATGGCCTCAATCTATAGCAGCCAAGAGTTCTCTGAGAGAACAGGTGTTTGATGGAGAATTCTGTTAAACTTTGGAATGAAGTTCTCAGTAGCGATAGGTGGCATAAAAGGACAACTTTCTGAAAAGGAGACAAGTAGCCAAAGCAAGTGTCATTTTCTGCAAAAAAGACTAAAAATATATGGAAAGCTCTAGCAACGCTGATAGAGAAAGAAAACACGTGGGGAACCAGCATTCTGAAGATCATGAAATGTATGAGTTGATGTTGCCACGGGTGGAGAACGGGAGTGTGGAGTAGATCTAAAGGGAAGCTGTCCCCTGAAGAAAGAGGGATTTACTCAGGGCAGCCAGGAGAGGAAGGTGTGAGACCTGAGGATACTGGGGTCACACACATTCTGGATCCCCTGCTCTTCTTTAGCTCATTAGGCAGCAGCGCTCTGCCTTGAATCTGTGGCATCCAGAACATGTACACAGCTCTAGGAATATCCAGATAGTTTTTCACTCTTAACACCATTGCAAAGCTTCCCCAGCCTCTGTTAGTCCTGTCACTGAAGATGCTTCACTCTGTGGCTACACAGCAAGGTTCTTTTAATCTATGATGTGATACTTTCTACTTTATCTTGTCCATTGTATTTGCAGCATTTTTGTTCCTGTGTTGTTTTTTTTTTGTTGTTGTTGTTGCTGTTATTGTCTTGTTTGTTTCAGTAAAGATGACAGCTTCTAACCAGGTTTTAGGCATTTAGTTTTTTAGAAAACTCCTGAGGATTCCCCTCCAGCCTCCTATGGCACCTGGGTATGGAGTCAACCAGTGCTTAGCTTTCCAGGAAGAAAGTGCAAGGGAAAATTATTTGTCATACGGTCCTGATGCAGAAGCAAGTGAATGTCTGTCTAGTGTCACTAAAGAAGAGATGGGATGCTGAGCACATAACACCATCATTGTGGTCTATACAATTCCTCAGGTCGCTGAAAAGCAATTAAAATGGAATAAGAAAGGATAGCATCAAAGGGTAGGTTATGGCATTAGGGCCAATGACTCATTTCCAATGAGGCAGTAAAAGTATGCACAATTTTTGTGATATATTTTGAGATACCAAGGGTTTCTAGAAGATGAACAGATTTGTAGAATATCTTCAAGGTTGAGTGATAGCACTGAATGAACAATAGCCCTTTTAGTGTTCTCAGGGGACTGGGGAATATACACACGCCCGTGCACCACATGAAATCCTGGAAACCAAGAAATCTAAAGAGTAAGGAACTAAAGGATGTCACACAAGTATGTGACGACTTGTATCAGGTTCCTCCTCCTGGGACATTACATGTGTGATGTGGCAACAACTGGATGAGGCACTTGCAGGGAAAAGTCAGTAACAGAGATCATCAGGGGAAGCTCAGGTCCTGGCATGGAGATTAGGGGCTACACTTGTGTTATTTAAATTGTTCAAATGAAGCATCGACAGTTTTTTTTTGTCTGTATGTATAATTATTTTTCTGACTATTGATGGTACATTGGTTCAATTCCTGGTAATCATAGTTAAGAGAGAAATGAAGTTGAATCTTGAATATACTGAATACTTGCTATGTGATACAGAGTGAAATATTTTATTTCACTTGTTATATAAATTATCTTGTTTGGACACTTTTGTAGATTATAAATGGAGAAACTGTCATATTTTACTCTTTTCAACTATTCTTTGTTTTAAGGAATGAGTTGGTAGCTTAAAATGAAAAAGGACTTAGATACATTGAGGAGTCATAATGACATATGTTTGCAATGTATCTATAATGCAGCCTCAAAATCTTATGTGTAATTGTTTATTCACTGACTCTAGTTCAGTAGGAAATCAAGGCTGACAATCAGGAAATATTGATTATCTGTTAGCAAATGAGATAATGCTCTTTAGTGACTTTATATTTCTGAACTCATTAGTGAAATTTGGATTAATAATAATAATAATGTTTGTTCCTTCTTGTTTAGGTATGGTACAAAGGATACAAAATGTGACGTTTGATCTAAAAAACTCACTGTTTTATTCAACAATTAAGTTCTATTAACTAACTATAGAGATGAAATACAAACTATTATCTCTGATTTATCACTCATTCTTTGGAAATGGTAAACTATAATGAACAAATATATCTTCCTTTAATGAACTTGTGCATCGTAGCTAAGTGTTGCTTAGTTGGTATATATACGGCCATGAATGTGAGGCCTGCACTTGAGTGTGAACAATGAACTCATAGGTAGACTACTGGAATTATAAACTTAGGTGTCTCAGAGATCAGATGAACAGATTTCTTGAAAGGCTCATAAGGATGCTGTTGTGGCTCAACATGCAATGGTGGAGGACAGAGTGCAGAGGAAGTTTCCTAAATGAGGAAATCTATGAGATGATCCTTGAACAATGAACAGACATGAGTAAGGCAAGTAAACTTTAGAGTGGAAGTTACAGCAAGACGGGTTAATCACAGGCTACCTTTGGTCCTGAGAATAGCACAAGTTGAACATTCCCCCACGATTTACCAACAGCACATATAAGTATAAAACAGAGAGAACTGCATCAACTATTTCACTACATTTTAATCTTAAAGAAGATAATCTCATCTGTGATGCTGGAGTCACCCTACAACCACACAATGGAAAATCCTGCCACCTTCTTTCTTGTGGGAATTCCAGGTTTGCTGTCTTCACATCTTTGGATGGCTGTCTCACTGAGTGTCATGTACACGATGGCCTTTCTGGGAAACACCCTCCTTATGAGTATAATCTGCATGGATTCCACTCTCCACGAGCCTATGTATTGCTTCCTGTGTATTCTGGCTGCTGTGGACATTGTTATGGCTTCCTCCGTGGTACCCAAGATGCTGAGCATCTTTTGCTCAGGAAATGGCTCCATCAGCTTCCATGCATGCTTTGCTCAAATGTATTTTGTCCATGCAGCCACGGCTATAGAGACAGGGCTGCTGCTGGCCATGGCTTTTGATCGCTATGTAGCTATCTGCAAACCACTACATTACAAGAGAATTCTCACACCTAAAGTGGTGCTTGTAATCAGTGTCAGCACTGTATCCCGAGGTATTATATCTATGACTCCACTGAGTTGGATGTTGAGTCATTTACCATTCTGTGGCTCCAATGTGGTTTCCCATTCCTACTGTGAGCTAATGGCTGTGGCCAAGTTGGCATGTGCTAGTCGCATGCCCAGCCGTCTCTATAGTTTAACTGTTACCTCCATTATTGTGGGTTTTGATGTGGCCTTCGTTGCTGCTTCCTACATCTTGATTCTCAGGGCAGTGTTCAATCTTTCCTCAAAGATTGCTCAGCGGAAGGCATTAAGCACCTGTGGCTCCCATGTGGGTGTCATGGCCCTGTACTATTTTCCTGGTTTGGCATCTATCTATGTAGCCTGGGTAGCACAGGACACAGTGCCCTTGCATAGTCAAGTACTATTAGCTGACTTGTACCTGATTCTTCCACCCACTTTAAACCCCATCATTTATGGTATCAGGACTAAACAAATACGTAAGAAAGTATGGAATTTGCTGATGTTCTTCTTTTAGCACTGTTAACAACTTATGACCACAAATCTCTTCGAAGTAAAGATGGTTTAGCAATCTACAGAATTGGGATTGTTTTGCTTAACACCACTGCAATTTAGGATGAAGGTGTGTAGGATAAACTTATGGTTTCTCTGTATCAAGCAATGAAGTGAAGATGTTGATTCTTATACTGTAATTGTAATCTTAGTTTGACCTTCCTCATACTACTCCCTCACCCACCCAGTTTATTAACAGGTTTTCTTTTCTGATGTGCTTTTATCTCGATTCTCAGGGGATTATTTAATATTTTCTCAAAGAAGACTCAGCAGAAGGCATTAAGTACATGTGGAACCCATATAGGTGTCATGGCTCTATTCTGTCTCCCTGAGATGGCACTTATTTATGTAGGCTGGTTAAGGCAGAACACAGGACCTTTGCACACCCGATTGCTGTTACCTGACTTATACCTGATGGTCCCTCCACCTTTAAACCCTGTTATTTATCATAATAGAACCAAACAAATACAAGACATAGAGCATTAGCCAATGTTCTTTTTCTACCAGTCTTACAAGGTTTCTTGAATATAAAACCTTTCAGACCTTTACCCTTCCAGCCAACTTCAAGGGTCACCTAGATTTCTATGGAGCTTGACTGATGTTCTCAGGAGTTCAGACATTCTGAATTTCTATGTTGAAGTTGTCCAGAGTATCATTGGAAACTTTTCCAGCAAGAAAGTGAATCTGATTATTCTGATATTCTTAAAACATTTTTAATGGCTTGATTCAATCTATATGTATATAAAAAATAAAATGTTTGGACACATTATAGATTGAAGAATGTTCTTTGCTTAGCTTCTGATATCTATTTTATCACTAAATTCTACAAGTGTTTTGTTCTAGTAACAGACTGCTTGGTACTTCCCTTACTATACACTCATCTGAATGATTTTCTTAGAACTGTCCCTCCTTACATGTGTTTATATGGAAGATGTTGTGACCATGACCCTGCCCTCCCCTCTAGTCGATTGATAAGCCACATATTTTTGTCATTTGTTGACATCCAGACCACAGTGTCCTTTCCTAGCAGAAACGATTGTGGTTTGTCTGAGGAGACAGCCATTTTCCAACAGATGAATTTGAAAAGGGAAATATGTACTACAGCAACAGAAATATATATGCAGATCCGATGAAGAGATTGTCATCCGTCTAATTCACTTCGGATACTTAGTGATATCTTTTCCATTATTGAGTTCTATAAAATATTCCTATATGTTTTAAACTATATATTGTAAAACTGGTTTGAGTGCTAAGGCAATGTAAGTTTGTGTGATAGCTTTTATCTAGATGTCCCCGCAAGCCTCATGCACTCAAAGGTGGGGATTTTCAGAGGTAACTAGATCATGGTTGTGTGATATTGGGTCACAGGTGATACTGAATTAACCCACTAATTGGGTTTATAGTTGGCTGTGAAGACTGGTGGGAAGAGGTGGGCCATTGCGGGCATGAGCTAAGGGTATGTATCCCTCTTTCTGCTTTGATGGCTGCGGCTTCTTGCTTGCTATGCCGTGGACTCTTCTCTCTCTGCCATGCTACTCTGCCTTGGAGAAAAAGCCTACTAGACTGAAACCCCTACAAACTGTGAATCAAAATATTCCTCTTCCTTTAACTAGTGAGTGTCAGGTATTTTTTTTCCCAGAAAAAAGAAAATTAATTAAAATGTTCATATATAAGAAGGAGGGTCATTGCTGTGACTTCACCTGCTTATGTGGCTAAGAAGCCTTTTGAAGTGGGTTATTGAGTTTCAAACTGTTTGCAGAAGCTGAGGAAGTAGTCCTAGAATGTTGTAACGTAAAATTGACTGGAGATTCTGTTCAGAGCATAGAAGACCAGAATACTGATAGAATAACAGGCAGTAAAGACCAGGTTCCAGAACTGTCAGTTGGGAAGAAGTACACCAGCAGTTGGACTCTGGGCCATGTGTGTTATGTTCTGATTTATTTCCAGAGACTTGGTGGGAGACTGAGATTAAGAGCCATAATCTATTTTTTTGAGCCATAATCTATTTTGTGTAATTATGGGCTCGAACTCATAGAGATCCTTCTGTCTCAGTCTCCTGATTGCTGGGATTAAATTTTCAAGCCCAGCTGTACTAATCTTGAGGAAGAAATTTCAAGGTAGTCTAATGTTGAGGCAGTCACATGGCTATTGTTGGGGGCTTTTATCCCCCAATAGCTCTGCCTTGAGAATCAGCAGCATATAGCCCAGTTTTGAATTTGGCCAGAAAGGAATCTTTGGTAGAGTTGAGACTTATAAAGATAGAGCAGAGGAAAACTTGGTTGCTGAAAAGATTAGAATTGAAAACTACATATATTAAAGCCTTGGTTTGCGAAAATTCACTCAGTCTTCTCATAATCCAAAGCACTTAACTATCAAAGGAGTGGAAAAGAAAGAACTGGTTGTGATCATGTGATATACTACTACTCATACTGCAAGACATCATTTGTTTATCAAGCTGAATCTTATAAACATTTGCTTATCCTGTGGAACACTTGCACAAGTTACTTGCAATCAAATGTTTGACCGTACTTTGGAACAAGACAATAGCAAAATGGCCTGAGAGCATCATAAGAACCAACAGGACCTCATTCTTTGCAGCCTCAAAATTGCAAAGGTGAATTTACCTTAAGAAGAGAGCCCCAGGACACCGTGTTCCAGAATAGTAGCTGCGTAAGGAAGTTGTTCTTCAGGATTGGGCTTAGCCATCCAAGCACTTACCCTTTATAGCCAAGATATAAGGAAGCCTGGCTACTGCTCAAACTTGTGGCAGATCTTTATATCATCCAGATGGCTGGATTTAGGCACATGCAAAATGCAAAAATTGTGGATTAAGGAAGGCTTCCACGCAAACCTCAGGGAGGTCAGGCAGGGTACCTGTGAGAAGGCAGTGTGGAAATCTGTTAAAGCCAGAAGTGCAGTACAGGTCCCAAGCCAGAATCATGGATCATCTGAGGAAAGCTGCAAGTAATGAGCAGAGCCAGCCCCCGAGAGGGCATGATGGCTATAATCACTGGTAGTGCCAAAGTAACAGAGTCACCTATGCCATTTGGAGCTCACGTATTGTCATAGATTGCCCTGGGTGCTGAACAGGGAAGTGCAGGATTTAACGTTTGTCCTGCTGGATTTTGGCTTTCTTTGGTTCCATTTATTTCTATCCTCCATTTCTAGTTTTTGGAATGGGAATGTTTATCTTGTGACATTTTGTTTGCAGTGATTAACTTTCTTTTCATTTTTATAGAGATTCCAGCTAGGAGTTTGTCTTAAATATAAGAGAATTTGGACTTGGGCTTTTAAGTATTGCTGAAATATTGGGACTTTGGAAACTCTTAGAGATGGAGTAAATATATTTTGCATTATAGGATGAACATGAATCTTTTGGGAGCCAGGGTGGAATATTATGGTTTATATCTCAATGCTTCCCTAAGCTTCATGTGCTCATAAGTGGGGCTTTTGAAGGTGATTGGGTCATGGATATATAATACTAGACCAGTCCACTAACTGGGTTTATAGCAGGTTATGAAGTTAGAAGTGAAGCCTGGGGGAAAGAGGTGGGCCATTGTGGGTGTGATTAAAGGTGAGTATCCCTCTGCCTCCCTTGATGACTGCGTCCTACCTGCTATGTTGTGAACTCTCTCTCAGCCATGCTGCTCTGTCTTGGAACCAGTCAACTATGAACTGAGCATTTTATCCCATCAATAAAGAATGTAAATAAGACAGTTCGGTTTTGGACATCGTTCTTTTTCCTTCCCTGTTCTATCCTGTGTGGCTCAATATTAAGACACCGCTGAGAGAATTCAAACATAACATGTCGTTCCTGTTACAGCAGGGATTAAATATAACTCAGGCTCTTCTTGTTGGTACTACTCAGCAGATGTGTGCTAGGATGAAATGCTCCATAGATAATAACATTATAGAGAAACAAGTTAAAATGTCACTACTACTATTCTCCAGGTTCTCCAATTCTATAATTTTACCCTTTCAGAACATATTAAACTGAGGAATTCACATTTGTTAGAAGAGAAAGGTTACATATATTTGGTTATGCTACATTTGAAAACGTCAATACAAATTTTTAAATTGTGTTAAATTCAAAGTACAAAGAATGTACATATAAGAAGTTATTATATCTGAGTCTGATGGCTCTTTTTACTGAAGGTAGAAGTAATATTTACTCATATTTATGAAGAATCAGTGAAACAGGAATGGGAAGCATGCAAGGAAACATCTGACATGGTGTATATACTTAGAATATATTCCCAACACATTCCTAATTCTATAATTTTAAGAGAATTCTAGGTGCTAAGTACTATAATCCTGTGTGATTTAGTACTGATATGTAAAGTTTCAATTAGAACTACTAGTTCACTTTTTGCTAATAGCAGGCCTGTTTACATACTAAGTACATTCTATTTTTGAATATCAATTGAGTAGAAATCAGCCTCTTGAAAGTCTGTTAATAATGTGCTGACGTTCAAAAGAACAGTAAAAATAAATTTCTTATTACAACTCCCTACCATAAGAACAAGAACATAAAATAGCAAAAATTTTTCGACAAAATATTCATTTGAAAAAGTCATACTATTTTTTTCTACATTAACAGCCTGAAGAAATGAGTATGTCCATTAAACCAAGGAATATTTTATGTTTTATGTAATTTGATATAAAGTAATAGAGGTATAGCTTAGCCTGTATCCAAAACAGAAATTTCTTTCAAGAATTTCCATTAAGATGGCTGCCCTGGCAGCTTAATATTTCCTTCATGATGGTATTCCCTGAAATTATGGTGACCCACTTTTAAAAAAATTTATTTTAAAGAGAATAAAACCAAACAAAATAAAACAGAATAAAGCCAATCAAAACAAGACAGTGTGACACAGCATTTCAAAACAAGACAACAAGAAATCAAGGTTTACTATAATGCCTCTTCTTGTCTTCAAAATAGCTGCTCATACCCTCAGACACAGTAAAATCAAACAAAACAGAAACAGAACAGAGCCAATAAAACAAAAACAATGAATGAAATACAAAACTTCAAAACAAGATAGTTGTAAATCCAAAATGGCTGCCATAGTATATCGTGTTATCTTTGAAATAGCTGTCCATGCCATCAGATTATAATAAGATCAAACAAGATAAAACAGAATAAAACCCAACCAAACAAAACAATAAGAATGGTACAGGATTTCAAAACAAGATAATAGGGAATTAACAATGGCCACCACCTTTAGAACGAGATCCCTGCTGCATTGTGTATTGTTATCCTCTGAATGTATGATCAGACTACCAGCTTAAGCCTGTAATCAGTGAAACACTAAACACTGCAAGCATTAAGTTGTATTTTACTTCGTGAGCAATCATCACAGCCTGGTGCTTGTTGGGGAGAGGAATGTTGGCTCTTCTGGTCTTCCTGCCCACATACCAGAAGGGGCTGGCACCTGGCTCTCCCCGTCAGCCCACACATGGTGCTGACTCACAGGAGGTCTTAGCTTCTTTTTTACTTCTTGTTCTCCTTCCTCATTTGGGACCTACTGTTTATTGAACTGCATACTTCTCCAAGCATACTGGTTTCTTGCCATGGCTACTTCCAAACAGAAAATGCTGTGCCTCTCACAATACATGTAGATATGAGTCCTCTCTTATTATGTGAAGTAGCTGCTGTTTATTTAACTTGTACCTGGGATACATAGTAAACTCTCAATGTGTCAATTTTAAGAGATGATTAACTAGTTTCTAAAACAGTCAATTTATTTCTTGTGGCTATTTTCAAACCTGAGGATTTGCTTTGCTGTGTCACCCTTTAGAAGGGCTCAAGCCATTTTAACTTTCAGCCCCTTAAAGCTCAGGTAGTGCATCTCTCAGTCTATAAAACAAGGCTGGACAAAGCTGGCCGCAGCCTTGTGAATATTGGCCATATCGAGGTGAAGATGTCTCCCTACCATGGCCGGGAGCAGCACTGGCACTTTACCCTCATCTTGATGATTTGCCTCCTGATTTGGAGCACTTTTGAAAGTAACGATGAAAAAATTATCAAATTTGTTTCTGATCAGAAGTATAATTCAGTACCATCTAGCTTTTACTGCTCCTTTGAGCACCATTTGAGTCAGAAAATGGCTTACTTTTATCGTGATTCTAGGCACCTAAAAATTCCCTTACTTACTTAGATGTTACACACACACACACACACACACACACACACACACACACACACACAACACAGAATGAGTTACAATGGGTTAAACTACCCCACAGAGAAGTGTTTCCATTCCACGGGAATTTCAATGTTTTCACCTGGTCTTAAAAATAAGACAATGTAAAATAAACAAAATGGTATCATTTGACCTTACAATTTCTGGTTAAATGATTATTTAAACAAATAATCATTGCCATGAAATCAGTTTATAAAATGCAAAACACAAACCCCAAAAGGGAGGTTATTACTTTCTTAATTTATTCCAGCTTTAAATAAATGTATCATCCCCAATTATTTTATGTCTTCCAAGATTTGTCCTAATCATTTCATGGTAAAATAACAACATTGATTTGTCTCACCCTCTCCTTCTACTGCTAATGCTTAAGAAGAAACAACATGGGAGCAGGGTGGCAGAATGAATTTTATTTCACTCATTTTACCTCCCTCAAATGTAAACAGTGAATGCAATTAAAACAGAAAGATGATTTTTAATATTTGTTATTATGACCAACTGGAAGTCACTGTGTGTCTGTTACCTCACATACTATCTATTTTTCTGCTCCATCCTAACTTAATGATCATTATCTTCCAGTACCCATGGTGCCAGAAGCTGTCTTACATTGCATTCTGGGGAAACAACATGAAATTGGTATGTATCGTAGTCCATTGCAATAAGCAGAAACAATAATTCTCATATGCCTGCTTTGAAGCTTATTTCTAACACAATTACTTCCACAGCATAACCTTATGACTTGCAGTGGCTTATGTTAGTATAGCCTTGCGGCCACACACACCTACTCTACAGTCAGTAAGTCCAACATACAGTCTTAATTCTCTTCATTATCACATTTGATCCAATTCTATTTCTCACACACATGGCATTTAAAAATTTCTTTTCCTTTTCCTACATTTCTCTCCTCCACAGATTTAGAGAAGAGAAAAGCAAAGAAGATATTAAGTAGTTACAAGTACTGTGAAGATTCCCTTGGTGATTCAAAAGGTCTTTTAGCCTAACTGGTTGGTGGATAAGCATCCTTCTTGGTTAGCTGTTTTGCATTTTTTTCTTTAGTTTCTATCCTGAAGTTATAGCCTCTATTGTAATCCAGAGATAAAGCCATGCAAGAAGTTGCATAATATTCTCCTGTGGCTCATAGTGTGCCTCTGGCATGACACTTTTCCACCTGAAGGGCTCTAGACTGTCAGGAAAGGACCTAACAAAGTAAGGCATTACTGAGAAGAGACTAGTCATAACACCGTGAGGTGGGGAGGTTATCCATGGTTACCTTCCTATATCCCTGAGAAATGAGCAAAGTATGGCATGGGTCATGGATTTTACACCAATCTAAGAGGTAAGAGGTAACAATACATTGTTTTAGGACAAACTGCATCCAGTTTGCCAACAAAGATACCTTTAACCTCTTAAAGATGGGAGTGGTTCACATTTGACTTACGGAGCAATTTTTTTCAATCTTGCTTCAGTTGAATGCGAAAATGAGTTCACACTTTTTATAATCTTTCAAAGCTAAGAAGTAATTTGTTTCCTTAAGCCCATTTCAGTTATGTTATCCATAGAATGAAAATAAGAACAGGTTTTCTGCTTTTGCCACTTAGAGGTCTGAGACAGTGAACTATCCAGCCTGCACCCAAGGAGGTGATGCAGAGTGGCCTGCGAAAGTCCCGTGTCCCTAATCAGGAGGACAGAGTAAGGTCAATACAGGTTATATTCCAGTGAACCTTAGATGAAGCATCTTGACTGGCATCAGCATGGAAACCAGCTGTGGATATGGCCTTTATTTCTATGGCTCACTGGTTAGCTCTAATTGAAAAGTTCCCTGAAGAGTGTCTGTTTTATTTTTCTCATTGCCTTAATTATGGCACTGAGTGAGAACAAGGGAAGAGAGGTGTGAGAGGAATGCAGAGTAGATCTTCATACCAACAAGTTATCTTACCACTGTTCTGAGCTTAATTCACTGGTGCAATGCTCATTTGACTGAGTCATTTTATATGGGTCATTCAGTGACAACGGCCTAACAGCAAGAGACCATAGAGACAGGGAAAGGAGTAAATGGATTCTTTGGCCACATTCTTCAACTCACTTGTGGGCCAGGCCAAATTCTAAGGGCTCTGGTTGGGAAGGGAGCTCTCTTAGTCCTCACCACCCAGGGAACAGATGATCAGAGGAGCGGTGTGCTTGGCACCATGCTGTAGCAAAGACTAAAACATGGCAGGAGATGCCCAGGAAAAAGACAGGGGAGGAAAGTGAAAATGTGAGAGCCATCATCAGTCACATTATAGAAGGAGATATAATGGGACTTGTAATCTAGGAAGACTCCCACCCGCCACGGAGGGACTTGCAAGGACAGGAGATGGAATTCATCGGTGTCCCAGGTATTCAGTTTCCTTTCTCAGCCTTATCACCCAGAATCCACAGTAGGGAGATAAGAAGGGCACCTCCTTTTGGTCTATATTTTCGTTATACATTCTCAAGCCACATTCAGTCTCATCTTCCACCTCCACTTCCCAGGACCGCTAGCCTGAGGAGATGTACTGGTTTCCCAGGACAGGGTTATAGTAGTGATGTTTCTCAAGACTGTCAGGTAGCTTCTGCTGAGTGTATCCATACTGTACGCACTTTGTGTCCTTGGATATGATGAGGTAAGAGTAAGCAGCATCCGGATCCAAGTATACATTAGCTAAGAAAAGAAGATCCTGGTTGGCAACACTGATACAGAGAAGGGATACGAGTGGTCTCCTGATACAAACAGCCACAGGTTTCTCAGTGATGGACTGGGGTGGATTGGGCATTCAGAGGGCATCGAGCCATTTTATTTTTGTGGGACAGGTCCCTCCCTCTGCCTATCACAGTCTCTCCCAGCATGTATTACCTGCATATTTCTTCAGAACCTCTCTTAGCCCTAGCACATGGCAATCTGTCTTCAGCTTCAAGGAGACTGATTCTGGCAGCTGTAGGCTCCAAGACTTGGCCCCGGTAGAAGACAGTGAGTGATGGGCCCAACTCCTGTCTCGGCCACATGGGCCTTCCCTTAACACAGGGAAGAGGGGCATTGTCAGGAAAGCCTGTCAGGGGTTCCTCCCCAGCAAAGACTCAAGATGCTGATTGTTTGGCTGAGCCTCACTGCCTGTGACACAGGGATAAGGACTTTCCCGTCCCCATGTTGTGGGGTTAGGTGTGCACCTGATGCTGGGAGAGGAGGTGTGCTGCAAAGAAGAAAAGCTGACACTCAGAGCTGGGTGCCTCTGGGAAGGATTCTTTTCTTATTGGTAATACCTGAAATGAGTTTTCTCAAGTACAAAAAAGAAACAGGAAATAAGCAACAAAGCTTCTCTAGCCAATATAGTATAATGGGGAGGGTGCTGTGGATTAGCATCTTCTTTGTACAGGTATTGAGTCTGTGTTTCATTTCTGGCTCTGGCCATGTCACTCTATTCCTTACAGGGCTGTCTAGAAGCTCCAATAATGAAAACATACCTGGTTAGGACTCGCTGAATACCCTAGAAAGAGAAAAAACACAGCACATAAATATGTGCTCTTTCTCAGGAAGGGATCAGATGGATGCCAGGCTCTGGGATGCAGTTTCTCAAACAAAAAGGAGACAACATCAAGGCTGGAGTGAAATTGTATGAGGCTACGGAAGAGAAGCTTGTGAAAGGGTAGCGGAGCAAATCAGCTAGATGGCGGACTTCAGGTTTCACAGTGGGGGAGGATCTGAATGATGTCAGACTGTCTGAATGCCTGTGGCTCTCCTATTCCTGGCTGGCTGGATGGCCTCATCTACGAGACTACATCTGATCAGTTTAGCCACCAACTAGGACAGGAAAAAAACCGGCATTAGCTGGGGGCATACGGGATCCCTTGCTGGTAGGGAATAGGCCAACAGGCCTTGTACGGAACTAGCCAATACTGTCCTGGCTACTCCAAGTGCAGCTCTCACACAGACTTCCCAGGAAAGCCTGTTGCATGGCTGCAGGATCCAGTGGACAGGCATCCAAGATCTCTCTTTCAGCTCTGTGATCATCCTACACAGAACCCAGTTCTGACAGACAAGGTCTTCGTAATTCAGTTCTAGCTTATGCAACATTTCCCCATTCTCCTATTCCAGCTGGCCAGACCTGTAGCTACCTCCATGTCTAGCTGCCGACTTTGGAGACCTTTTTTGTTTAGCAACTGCTGGTACTTAAACTCTAATATGGTATCCCACTTTGGGTTTCCACCTGCATCTACAGAGTCAAGATTGCAATCAGCACTGATATTTTTAATGTAAGGGCTACCCACAATTGAAAACACTGGCCTGTGCATACATATACCCTGTGGAATGGTTTGGTGTATGTATGCACAGGCCAGTGGTTTTAAATACATTTTTGTATCATGCCTGTATTTTCAGTGCGATTTACCCCATGAGGTCAGGGGTAGAATTTTCTATTTGTGGCATCATGCTGGTGCTCAAAAAAGTTTGGATTTTATAGCATTTCACATTTCAGATTTTTGGATTAGGAATATTCAACATGTACTACTCTTTCTGACCAGGAGGATCCAGATTATCTTGGTACTATGAACACTAGACTATTTTTCCTTTTAAGAATAACCAGATGGGTTATACTTATAAAAGCAATGTAAGTTAACTGTATTGCTAGATGCTTTTTCTTCTTGCTGGTGTTGTATCTGTTTAAAGCACTATATTAGATTGCTTCAATATTATTCTGTTGATCAAAAGCTGCAAAGTTTCATAATTACTGGCTTCAAATGTATTGCAGAAATGATTTTCTAGTATTTTCATAACTGAAGTTAGGAAATACCCCTTGACTGGGAAAGTGAAGCAAAAAACTATGTTTTATTAGCATTGTACAAGAATGGTATCATAAATTAATGTGCATTATGAGGCGCATACTTTTCCTTTCTCATGTACGAGGACATCAGATCAGAGGTATCCCTATATCATAATCAAGAAACCAAAACTGTGAAGTTTCATGGCCCACTGAGGGCCATAAACCTGGTAAAAGTGTTAGGGTCCCAGGCTCTCTGACTTAAAGCCTTATGTTCTACCTCCCAGAGATGAGAAAGCCACAGAACAGAGGTGATGTAAACTCCTTGCCCAGGTGGCCACTTGCCTTCCAGTCATCAGTTTGTTTCTCTTCATTAACTTCCAGCACACAGGCCCCTCTTTCTGTCCTTTCCTCAGATGTTACAGAGACTCAAGGAGTTTCCAGTGCAAGAGGTAAACATGGGCCTAATGAGGAGAACTCAGGCAGCCTAGGCTGATAAGAAGCCCTCACACTGGTAAGTGATGGGAAAATCAGGGTCCGTCTGGCAACAGAGAATGACTGTAGAGAGGAGAGGAATGTAGGGGCAGATCTGCCCAGATGGCCCCCAGGGTAGTTCTCTGAGCTGAGAATCATGGTAACCCCCATAGTCCCTAAGTGTGAAGTGGAAGAAATGTCGATTTCCAAAATGTTTTAGAACAAAGTCCCTTGAACCCTGCTGCTCATTCATGTCTGTTTTTGGTCTTAAAGTAGGAAGCAGGGTCCTAGAATAGTGACACAAGGGATTTCCACTGGAACGCATAACATGTTTCTGTATCACTTATAATTCTAATCATGGTAATCATTTTATGAAAGAATAACTAAAAAAAGAATAACTAAGTACCAAACATGGTGTAAGCACTATACATGCATTAATAGAGTCCTCATCTATTGACCTTTATCCCATTTTACAGATTAAAACAATTGAGACATAGAAAGTCAACTATCTAAAGTCATGTAACTAGTAAATGGTTTGGCTGGGATTTAAACATGTTAGGATGTTAAAACCTCTCTACTACTCCAATATTTTCAGAACAAAATGAGTAAGTGTATACTTTTTTTTTTTTTTTAAGAGACAGGGTTTTACTATGTAGTTCAGGTTGGCTTTAAACTCATTTTGTAGCTCAGACTGGCCTTGAACTTGCAGCAATTCTTCTGCCTCTGCCTCCCAAGTGCTGGGATTATAGGCATGTGCCACAATGCCTGGCTAAGTGCGTACTTTTAATGCTTTAGAAACTTTTACTATGGATGAAAAAAGCTAATTTAGCAGATTTATCTTACATTTTTATTGCCTAATTTCAACTCTCCAAAGAAGAATTTAAGACCAGAACAGGGTCACTGATCACCAAATACTGGAATAATGGATCTTACAAAGATATGACAGCATAGACATCTGAGAAAAGAGCAAACAGGAACCTGAAGACAAATTCTCTGACCGAGTAAAAAAAAAAAAACAGCAGGTGCATAAACAAAGATGGCTTGTCCCAGAGAAAGGATACAAAACAAACAAACAAACAAACAAACAACATGAAAGGATTTGGGAGAGATAAAGAAGACTGGCCAAAGAGGAAAAAATGCCTAGCCTTTGATTTTCCTTTACCTAAACCCAAAGTCAGAAGGGACCTGAAAATATTGTATTAGGTACTGTGTGTATTAATGCATGTTTAGTGCATAAGTCACATCTGGCACTTCGCAAATCAGTCCCAAGGAACTCACTCAGGGTCCTTTACAGATCTAAAAATAAATTATGAACCCAAGTTTCTAAGCCATAGTTTTAAAGGAGTTTGACTCACACAATGTCAAGTGACTACTTGTTGTGCTGCTAGGAGAGGTTAGAAGGTTCTGATAGGTTAGTCTTGATTAGTGAATCTCAACCTCACACCCAAATTTAACCAAGCCATTAAGAATTCCAATAGAATCCAAACTGAGCTCCTTCCAAGTCTCATAACTAAAATCAGCTTTGGGTTACATTAAAACACGTTGGGACTTAGGGTGGAAAGTGAGGGAAGTTGGAAATAAGGAAATCAACAAAGTCTTGAAAAGAAAAAGTGTAACTCAGCATAACACACCTCAGGGCCCTGTGGGTGTTAGGAGCCAAAGAAATCAGCTCATAGGCTCTGGGGCTGGTATCTGGCCCTTGATATAGAGATAGCCAAATGAAGGGCAGAGGAGTGATCTTCCACCTTGTATTCCCAGGCAATGTCCTCCAAGGGCACAGCACAGTGGGCCTCATTCTCTGAGGCTCAGCTGTAGGCCTCACACACCATATAAGCCATCCTCTTTGCAGAAGACCTTTAACTGTGTCCCATGGAACTCACACATGTCATCTTTCAGTTTTATTCCTAGACATGGCCTTAGCAAATTGGCTTTTTTTACAACACTGGCCAGCTGCCAATTAACTCATAGGTTCTTTGGTTAAAGGGGACAGGAATAATTGCAGTTCTGGGATTCTCTTGAAACCTCCCAGAGTCCTGAGAGAGAGAGAGAGCTGTGATGTCCACAGTCAATGCTCAAGGGCTCCTTCAGGAAAGTCGTACAGATGGGACAGGCCACCTCTTCCTCAATAGCTTCCACTAAGACTGCCAGACTCACGGTTCCTCTCACATCTTCCTTGGAACATGAATAAAAGCAAGGAAAGGTAATGAAGGCTATAAAGAGTGAAGGAAAATATATGAGAGGAAAAAAAGTAAACATACAGGTCAATTAAATGTTAAGTAGTGACTGAAAAACAAACCTATCATTAGGATCATTTACTGATCTGCTGAATAAGCTTAGGCCTTCTCAATTGAACCTTTGGGTTATTTTACTCACACCATGGAAGGGATGTGTAGGGACACCCAAGTGAGTGGTGTTGGAAGTTCTGAGTTTTCATTTATTGGGGAAACTCTGATTCTTCTGTGTTTGCTCTACCAGACTATTCTCACTCCTATCATACTCTGTAAGTCAACATAGTTTCTCTTCAACTAGAGCAAGGTCACATAAAATGTGGTGTTTCTGCATCCAGAACAAGGTCCTAAATACCTCTAGCCTCATTCTCTGATATGTTTATGAGTACATTTAGGGTGAAAGGTAAATGCCAGAAGCCCATTGCCTATATGCAGTTTCCTTATGTTATACAAAACAGTGTAAAATGTAAGAGAAACAGGAGTGTTTTTCCTTGTGCTTGTAATTCTTACTCTCTTCTCTGGTGCTAACATACATATGCCAAGACATGCTCCTCAGTGGTATGTTAAAAGAAGAGATGAAATAATATCCCTTAGAAGATAAAAAACACACACACACACACACACAAAAAAAAACAAAGACCATGATCAAAATGATGAGTGGAGGAACTCATCATTCCAGAGAAACAACCAACCAACCAACCAGCCAATCCCTGGAACTTTTGTCAGTATCACATATGGATATGGAACATGAATGGTCAATGGCAGGCACTTGATGCATTTGGCAATATTTATGCATTCACTTTGTAAATTTATGTTACTAGACTGGCAAGTGTGAGATCTCAAGTTCAGTTCCCTGTATCAAAGACAACAATGACAGCAACAAAACCCCCCAAAAAACAAAAACAGTGCTTTAATGTTTGGTGAATACCTGAGAATTAAATGTAAACGCTGAGGTATAGCTGATGGCAGGCTGAAAGTGGAAGTTTTAATGTCCTCATTTAAAGTAGTGTGAGTGTAAGGGCCCCAGAAGCACTGCCTAATGCTCATGGAACAACAAACAGGGTGATATCTATCATTTAAAGTTCCAAAGATCAACACAGGAACAAAAATAGCAATTGCAAATGGAGAAGCTAGAGAAAAGCAAGGTAAGGAAATATAAAAAAGCTAAAGAAATGCAGTGGAAATATATTATTTTGATTTAGGGTCATACAAAGAGCTACATACGGAAAAATTAAAAGCAGTGATCTCCAGCTGATCAAGGTGGTACATGGCTGTAATGCTAGCTGCTCCAGATGAGACAGGAGGACAGGGAGTTCGAGGGCAGCCAGGGACTCTTCAAATAAAAAATAAAAAGGGCAGGCAATGTAGTTCAATGCAAAATCTTAGATTCAATGTTGGGTGCCTGGGGATCGAGGTGGTGGCTTCTGCAAAGATGATTGGGGATGAACAACTATTGCTCCTCAATAGAAGACCTGCTTTAATGTTTTTGATTACACAGAAATTACTTTAGTACAATTTAATCTGTTAGATTCTTGCTTGTGTCTTTGGCGGAGCGGCTAAAGGTTTGGGAAAGACTGTTGGGGAAGAAGACAGACGGGGAAGGACCCTGGAAGTAAAAGCAGAAGAGGGCAAAGGAAGCAGCAAACTCCCAGGACCAGAAAGAGCACCAGGATGTCACCTCTGTGCCACAGGGCGGGTCGTCCTGAAGACATGGGTGAGCGGGGTCTGGTAAGGTTAAAACGGAAAAGCCCTTTCACTCTATTTTTATTTTCCTAACCTACCCCATAAAATATGGCCTCCTTACTTGTTCGCGGATGCCCGTGCTTCACTTCCGAGTTCTTCATCCACGGCGACCTCTAGGGTACCGTTTTACTTCCTGTTCCATTCACATGTTCCCTAAAGTCACGGGAGCTGCCCCGCCCTATCAGAAACCCACAGTCCTGACTCAGTATTTCTTTCCTAGAAAAACCCCAAAGACCAGAAAGCAGGGCCTGGCTCTCTTTGTTGTTGGGAAGGAGTCCGCCAGCGCCACCAGTGTAAAATAAAAGCTGTTCACCGCTTCCAAATCCTGGGTGTCGCTTTGGTGTTTCTGCTTGCCGCGCCAAGGTGAGCTGACAGGACCTTTGCCTTTCAGCTGGGCTCGGGTCCCCATCCCCTCCTCGCGCAGGACAAGCACTGCGCGCAGGGAACTGGCAGTGGAGACCTCTGCAGTCTGCGGCTCAGGGTCGCAGCACCAGAAGCAAGTGGCCCCGCACATACCTGCCCGCCGGGCGCACAAACCCAGGACACTACCAAAGACTCGGGCTACACACAGCTTCTCTGCCTGGCTCAGACCGGCTCAGATCTCACCCACAGACCCGGAGCCCCCGAGCCGCAGGCAGAGTTCTCGCGGCGGCTCCGCCCACCTGGGCATGTCTTTGCAGGAACAGCCAATCACAGGCAGGTATCAAGACAACCGCGACAGACGGCAATGAAGTCTGAAGCAGTGAAACCTGCTCGCGTTTTCTCGCCGTACTGACTTTTCTGGTTTTTCAGCACACCCCCCCCCCCACCTTTTCGATTGTAAAAGGCGCTTAAGACTCAGTTTCAGGAACCATCAAAAAGTAGAAGTTCTCCAAATGCTCATGCTCAGCATTGAGAGGTACTTTTGGCAATCTTCATTTGCCAGGAAACTGCAGCTGTGAAAGAAACCGGATCTGAGTCTGACTCACTTTGGCGCTGGTCTAGGAAATCCCTTGCAAAACGTGCGACCTCTCCTGGCTGCAGGCTACACTTACTGGGTCACATTCAACTAGCCTCCTGTTTTTCCTGGCAAGCTTCAGTGCTCTGTTGCTCATCACTATTGAGACAACGCAACTTTGGAGTTAGAAGCAGGTACTGATGGAGGAGCCCCGGTTGCCCATGGTGATAACCTGTTCGAAAATGCAAACTTCTTTCTCCTCCTTCCCTCCCCCTCCTTGCCTTTTCTACTCCCTTGTTAGTTCATAACATCCCAAATAAACAACTTACTTCAGATCTACATTTTAGTCATTTCAGTTGTGTTTCTTGGGTACCCAGCCCAGGAAAAGTTCAATGACATACTAGGAACGTTACAGACAACTTAATGACACTTTATTCCCTTCTATACTATTGTCTTTGTACACCAGTGGGTATAGTCTTTCCCGATATTGTGGTATGTTTTGTGGCTTTTGCCAGTAGTTTAATAAGTAGTTTACGTTACTAATTCCTTGACATTATAGCTGTAATTTGGGATTACGATGGGTTATAGAATACAGACTCAGAATACTAAAACTTCTCTGGCCATGGAATTGATTTATCTAAACATGTAATTTGATTTCTTTAAAGTATATAAACATTTAACCCTAAAATTATATATGAACATTAGACACTCAAAAGGTAGCTATTGTTATTGGTTGTGCACCAGTTACTTTATGAATTTGTGTCAGTTAATTTTAATTATCAACTTGACTGGATTAAGAGACTCCTTGAAAGGAGATAGGATTATGCAAGTCTTACACTATTCGTGGATTCGCCCACTGATTTAATAGGAAGTGGGGCCTGGTGATACTCTCACTGGTCCTCTCTTCTGTGCTTTGATTTCTGACTTGTTCTACCATGACCTTTCACAATGATGTTCCTTCATTGGGGGCAGCTGAGCATGACCTTAACACATTCATGATGGAGGAGTAATTCATATGTCTTGCTGCTGGGTGGGTCTAATTTGAATTTGATTGTTCCTGCCAACGTGAGCCACTGGTGGTACTGCATGGCTGTCTCATCAGACAACTTGTGCAGCTTCTCAGGAGTCTTTGATTATAATAATGCAAAGAGAGATTGTGAGTTAGCAGACCAGCTGTCATCATAATGTAGTTCCTTAACACATTAAAATGGTATAAAAAATTGTAACAGCTAATTTGTGATACAGCAGTTATAAATGCATATTATATAATCAGTAATGGGATACTTAGTTGTAAGATTTTCATGTTAAAATTTAGAGAATTAATTATTGATAAACTTTACAAATATAAATAAGCTTCTTTTAAATTAATGAAATAACCTTGCTGATGGTTCTAATAATTTTTAGAATATTTGGGCAATAATTACTCAAATTTAAGCAGCTAACTAGACTCAGCCCATTTATAGATGTTTTATTAATTGTATTAGTAAAAGGATTGATAGAATGATTAGATTGTTTGTGCCACCAGTGCTACAAGCCACCCAATGAGCCAATCATGCATGAACCACTAGTGGTTTCAGCTGGCAGGAACATGTTAAATCTCTGAAACTGTGAGCCAAATTAAACCACTCTTCCTTTAAGTTGAGAGTGTCAGGTATTTTGTCCAAGCAATGAGAAAGCTGACTAATGTAGCATTCCAAATTTTACAACATCTATGTTATTTTCATCTACAAATGAAAATCCTAGAATGCAGATGTACCCAAGAGCCTAAGCTGAGATCGGAACCTGAGTGTTTATAAGTTTTTGTGAAAGTAATCACTATTTTCTTCAACTTTTTAAATGTGGCATCCACTTTGCTACAGCTGAGATCCAAACCCTTGCATTAGGAGTATTGATGAAAGTCTTCACTTTTTATTTCCATTTTATTTTCCTTCCACCGTAGTGTCTGCTTCACTCAGAGGTTTTGGAACATTTTATTTTTGATTATTCTGACTGAGTGTTCTCCTCAGTTATTTGCAGAATAGTATGAATACTCATCTTTTAGGCTGAAAGATGAATGTACACACAAACACAATAGTATGTGTGTATAAATATATGCACTTATACACATAAAGTATATGGTACATATATAAATATATGTCTTTAAATGCAAACTAAAATATAACAGTATGATTTACAGCAACTTCATTGGACTCATCTTGATTAGTCCTTTGCTTATTTGTAGATTTTAAGTGACTTGATGAGAGATGATCAGCTGTGTTTCAGGTTGGCAACCTCTATTTCTAGGACTGCTTCCCATCTTTAAATTGGAGATAACTATGTCTAGCTCATAAAATTAGTTTTGTACTAATTAAATTAAAAATTAAAAATGGTGGAGTAGAGATAAACAGCAAAATAAAACCGCTCCAGGATCTGAAATCAAGATATTTGGAAAACAAGTTGGTAAAGAGAAAAAAAGTAGTATATCTTTGGGAGATGGGAGAGAGCTAGTAGAAAACTACTACAGAGAAGTTGGAGAAATGGAGAACACAGGGGAAACAAACAAGCAGTCTGGAGAGCTGACCCCCGTTCCCAGGGAGAGGGACTGGTCTCTGCTGACACAAGGTAAACCTGGAGAGGTTTGAAAGTTCCAGGGAAAAACAGCCAACCAAGCTGGCAGTGATGGTCACATGAAAAGTCTACAGATATTGTAAAATGCAAAAAAAGTGCATAGTTTTACCCTGAAAGTGACACCTTATACATGGTGGGGTAAGTTGGAAGAAATCCAGTGTAGTGACCACCCTATTTGAAAGGATACAATTAAATAATTTTGGTAAAGTGTTAATTGTTCACCACGGAGCCACAGAACAAGTACAGAACAATGACATTTCAGTATTTCTGGGGTCACTGTAACATAGTGTCTGTGTGAGAGAGGGAAACAAGACACAGAAAAATAGAAACATGAGAAAACAAACAAGCAAAATGTCTCCAAAATTCCCATTGTGCCCACAGCTGATTCATGGGTATTGAGGGTGAGGAAAAAAAAAGCCACACGATTGACTTATTCAAAATGGTAAAAAGAGGAGGTTCTTGGGCAGCTCACAGAAGAAACAGATAAAGGACTTAGGAAATAAAAGAATCAGTGAGTTTACAGATGACACTAAGAAAAACATAGCTGAGTTTAACAAAATGGCACAAAACATGAATGACCAGTTTAGCAAAGATTAGAGTCCCTAAAAACGTCAGAAATCTAGGAGATTAAAAATTCTATTAAAAATATGGGCCACAGAAGTGATCAAGTGAAGATGGAGTGTCAGAACTAGAATATAGGACAATTTCTGGTGACCAACAACTTAAAAATAACAAGAACAATAAAAGCATGGAAAATCATATCCAACAGCTGCTGATCTTAGAAGACAAATGTAAGATCAATTAGAATTAGTGAAAAAACAGTACAGATGGTGTAAAATTTTGTTTACTGAAATAATAGCAGAAAACTTTCAAACATGGAAAATTTAAAATAAAGACAAGTAGAGCATATTAAACTCTGATAAAACCGTGATCAAAAGAACTTCAAATTTCAGAATTCCAACACAAGGGCAGAATCTTAATTCTGTTAGAGAAAAGCAGTGAATTACTTACAAAGTAAACCATTAAAATTACAGCAGATTTCAACAAAAATCTTAAAGGCTAGGAGAGCATGGAATGAAATGTTCAAGTCCTAACAGAAAACAACTTCCAACCCAGACTGATTTCATATATCCTAATATAACTATCTTTCATAATTGATAGATATATGATCTTTTCATGACAAGGAGCACTTTGAGGAATTCATGTTCCCCAAGCCAGTTCCAAAAAACTCTCAAGAGTATCCTAGAAAGAGACAATGAAAGCAATATGATAAAAATTCTAATGAAATGAAAGCATCAGATAAGGTGCATGGTTAAACAGAGATGAACAAAGGGAATAATCCACAGGATAATAAAGTATGAATGGTGATTAGCACACGTCAGTAATAATTTTTGATGTGAAGGGTTTCAATTCTCCAATCAACAGACACAGACTAGATGGATATGTCAAGAAACAAAACCAGTATGGTTTAATCCAAATAGAAATTCATAGGTTAAAAACAAAAAAGATGGAAAACTATTCTAGGCAAGAGAATCCTGAAAACAAGTAAGAGTAGCTATCCCATTTTAAGTCAAAGTGGACTTCAAGTCAAAATTGACCAGAAAAGGCAAAGGTCATCAATATTGGTTAAGGGAACAATTCAGCAGGAAGAGAATAATTATAAACATACAGAAACTGAACACAAGCACATTCAATTTCTTAAAACAAACAGTACCATATCCAAACATCAGAAAAACATCAACACAATTATAGTAGGGGGACCTCATTATTCCACTGTTGCAAGTATATCAGCTACACAAAAACTTAACAATGAAATGTCAGAGTTGAGCCATACCTTTTAAACAGAAGGACTTAATAGACATCTTCAGAGTGTTCCTTTCACCCAACAACACAATGCACATTCTTGTCAGTACCACATGGACTTTTCTGCATAATAGGCCATAAAAGCATGCTTAAATAAGTGCCAAAGAAGCAAAATTACTCATATATATTATTAGATCATAATGCAATAAAACTAGAAATCAATGGTAAAAGAAATCACAGAAATTATTCAATCATTTGGAAATTAAACAATATAAGCAATAAGTCACAGAAGAAATCAAGAGAGAAATTAGATCAGTGATGACAAACCTTTTAGAGATTTCAGTGATACAGTCTGCTGTGACATACATGCCACAGATTTGCTGCCACTTAGAGAGTTCCTAGAATAAAACAATAATGCAGGTACAAAGTAGTATCTATGAAACACAATTAAAGCAGTCTAAAGAGGAAAGTTTATAGGTGTGGATGATCACAGCAGAAAACTAGTCCAAATAAATAACATAACAATGCACCTCAAAATCCTGTAAAAACAAGAATAATCCAAATCCAAAGCTAGTATGAGGGAGGAAATCATAAAGATTTGAGCAGAAATTAATGAAATTGAGACTAAAACAATACTAAGAACCAATGGTTTGAAGAGCTGGTCCTTCAAAAGAGATGTAAAATAGACAAATCCTTAGTCAGTCTCACCAAAAAAAAAAAAAAAGCGGGGGGGGGGAGACCATATCAAAGTAATTAGAAATCAAAAAGGAAAATCACAACAGACATCACCAAAATCCAGATTATATTCCTACTTCAAAAGCATGTACTCCAATAAATTAGAGAATATAGAGGAAATGGATAGATTACTAGATGCATATGTATTGACAAAACTGAATCAAGAAGATTTAAAAGTCTTGAATGATCCAATAACAGGTAATGAAGCAGTAACAAAAAACTTACCAACTGAAAGAAAGTTCAAGATCTGATGGAGTCACCATTTAAGTCCTCAATAACATGATTTTTAAATTGCATGTATTTTCAATACACAATATGATAATTCAATACATGTGTACAATATCAACCCTTTTGCTCTTAAAGTTATTCTCAGTTTTGAGTGTGCATCACAATAACAAGTAGTTCAGCATTTTGATATACCACTACAAGTGATTGTTATGGTTTGCATCCAAGGTCTCATGGGGCTTTGGAAGGTAATTGCACGATAGGGACACTATACTTATCAGTGGATTGATCCATTGATAAATTCATATCTAAATGTGCTGTTAGAATGTGGGTCCTGGTTGTAAGAGATGTATTACTGAGGGCATGCCTTTGGAGGCAACTGTCCCTGAGAAACAACATCAATGATCAGCTAAACCCAGTGATCTATCAATCCACCATTCATAACCATAAGAAAAAAAAAATGAAAGCTGGTAATGTAAAAAGAAAAATCCACGAAAACCAAAAATCTAGGACTTGGAAATGGGGGACACATCTGAGAAACTAGGCTAAAAATGGCAAAAAAGAACTTTTGCAAAACAGATTCATACCTTATGAGAGCTGAGAAAATGTTATTGCCTTAAAGCGAGCACAAGTTGATACAGAAGAACAGGGAAAGAGAAATGAACCATTAGAGATAATGATAACAAGACAGAGTGTACAAATTTTATGTGGAAAATTCTTTTCTCCCTGACTTCATTTCCATGTAGAAGAATTTCCATTACAATAGAGATCTTGGCTTCATTGCCTCTCCTCTGCCGCTGAGTGATATTGTAAGTAAATTCTGGAGAAGGAAGAAGCCCTTGTAGCTTGGTGCCTCTTCCCAGTTTTGGCTGGCTCTGCCTGGCTTCAGAACATACACACTCTCATCTGCTGTCTGCCGTTCCAGGAGAAATCCACCTGCAGAAAGTAGGGAAGTCTGTGGTCTTGCAACTTGGAATGTAATTAATTGGATAAATTTAATTCAGGGTTGAAGAACAGGAAGTCACAATAGGTCACATATCAAAGCCCTAAGCATTTTTTTTCAGTAAGAACATCTATATTTTGATCTTTATTTGCCTAACTCTTGCATCAATTGCCAAGAGAGGAAACACACAGACTATTTGCTTGAATTTCTGGAACTCCAGTGTGTAAATTGAAAAAAAACAAAAAACAAAAACTAGAAAAAGCTGAACTGAAGCAGGGTGAACATTTTCCTTCTGCACACTACTCTGGGAAAATTCCTTGAGTTTAGTGTCTATCATTTTTGTTTTCCAGTGAATAAATATTGACTTGGCCAGAACTGATAAAAGACATGGAAGGCAAATACAGGCATTCCAAAAGGAAGAAAAGGAGGCAATGTAGCAGGTGAGTAAACTAAGTGAAAAAGTTAAAGAAAAACAGCAGAAAGTGTCCATAAGCGAAAAACATATTTCAAGTCATACAATGCTCTTTAATACATAAAATAAAGGTTCTATACCTAAATAAATCCTGGTAAGATTTCTGAATGCCAATAGAAAAGGAATTCTGGCATGCATTTAGAGGGATTTGCCTACAAAAAAAGCTAAACTATACTGGCTAGCATGTAAATGCCATTAAAGTGGACATTTTGTTCTCTTCACTGATTTGTCTGGTCTCTTCCATTCCTTAGAAGAGTGCCCGTCACATGATAGGCATGAAAAAATATATGCATGGATGAACTAACTGCATCAATAAGTCAATGCCATCTCTAATCTGAGGTCATAAAATATTCATTTACATTATTTCAGGAAATTTGTTTGCTTTGCCTATTATATTTAAAGACACATTCCACAAAAATTGGTACTTGTGAGGCTTCAAGTTTCATTTTTTTCCATATGCATATTCAGTTGTTTCAATGTCATTTAATAAAAATAATCTTTTTTCCATATTGCTTTGTGGTGTTATCTTTATCATATAATAATTGATCATCTATGAGTAGATGTGCTTCAGGGATTTTATTTCTATTCAGTGATAAGTGAGTCTCTTCAATATTACACATTCATAATTGCATTAAAGCAATCCTTGATATTTGGTATAGCAAGTCTTCCTACTGTGTCTTAATCTTTAAGAGGGGTATGCTAGTTTTGACAATTTATATTTTTATGTATTTTAAAAATTAAGCTTTTTCAAGTTGTACAAAATAATCTGTTCAGGTATTATTTGGATTCTGTTAACATTGTAGAGGAATTTGGTTGCAAATTAAACTCTTCATGCTATTTACTTTTCCAATAAAAACATAGTGTTTATTTATGTTTCAAAATGTGATACTTCATGATTATAAATATTTGTAGATATAGTAAGATATTTCAGTACATGTATGCAATGTATAATAATCACAGCAGGATAGTAAGTATATTTTTCACCTCATTATTTCTCTGCATATATTGAAATATACAGTAAATTATTGTTAACTCTTGTCATTTATAGTTCTAGTGCTCTATAACACTGGAACTTATGCTTCATAACTAATTTTGTACTAGTTAACCAACCTTTATCTCCTTTTCCTTGTACCTTTTCAAGCCTCTGATTCCCAATTTTAAACTCTATATCCATGAGATCAACTTTCTGAGCTTCCAGGTACGAGAACACATATCGTTTGTTTTTCTGTGGCTTGTTTAATGTAATGTCCTTTAGTCTCATTCTTACTGCTGCAGCTGACCAGATTTCATGCTTTTTATGGTTTAATAACATCTCACCATGTTTATATGTCACAATTTTTTTACCCACCCATTCATTAAAATCCAGTTTCTTCTAAGGATAGTTTATGGTTGTTTGTATAAGTCCGCCATTATTTGTTAGATTTATTCTTAGACATCTGATTTTTCTATGCTATTGTAAATCCTCTTAAAATCATGTCTGCTTTTTACAGAATTACAGTGACATTTCATACATCAACCTCAGATTCACCAACCTTCCTGTGTAAGAACCGCTAACTTTGCGCCAATGGAGCACCAATCACCAACCTTTCTGTGCTTAGTAATTCTAATAATTTTTCAATATATTTTTTAGATTTTTCTGTATATTCAATAGTTAATTCACAAATAATGGCTAATTTCTTTTTAAGATATCTCATGCCATATGTCTCTTTTTCTTGCTTTATTACAGGTTTTTAACACAAGGAATCATTTCTACCTTAAAGTAAAATTGTGTTATTTTTTTAATGAAGGGTTTTGTATGTGACATGTACATCAATCTTTCCTAATAAAACTTGATGGAAATAGTTACAGATGAAATTTGAATACTTGAACATCTTACTACAGGAAAAGATTTCTTTTTATAAGCAACATGTGAGTTTTTAGAATTTAGAGTAGATCTACAAAGACACTGACTACTCCAGACAAAGAAAAGTTTGAGCAAATGCTAGGGATTGCATGTAAGGACAAAGAACTTTCATATGAGGAACTGAGAGGATGCCAGAGCAGGACCACAGCCAAGAAAAACTGGGTATCCTGGAATGGGACTGAGAATTAGACAGGTTCATATCATTGAGAAGCTTCTATCCTGAGTATTTGAGTATAGCCTTGGCCAGAATTTCCCATCATTGGCCAAACTTTGCCACATTCTGTTTATAATGAATCATTTTATTTTTGTGAAAGGTACATAGGGATAACTACTATTCTTAAAGTCATACCAACGTCAGTAAGATACTGTTCTTATTATTGTAATGAGTGGAAAAAATGCTTAGAACTTTTCACGAAAAATCACCATTTAAAAATTGCACCCACTTAGCACTTGATGCCGTTTCCAGGAATTCAAGGGTACCTATCCCCAGGGCATGCCTTTTTGTGAATTGTAAGTGAACATCAACAAAAATGATACTAATTTCTATGAGTGAGGAAAGGAGGACTATATACATACCCTGGACACCCATATCAGTGTCCGTTTCCTTCCCTAAGAGAAGATGATAAGAACTATTTGGAAGTATAAAATTTGTCTCTCTAGTCTCGGAAGCTGAGTTAATAATATCCAAAATGTACAGTAAATATTGTGAAATGAGAAGAAACTGTTCAAAAGGAAAGAGAAACTGGAATGGGGGAAAAGGAGAAAAAGAAAAGAAAAGAATACATACAAGATAGTTAAAACAGTTATACTGCCAATTTTTATAAGTTCATTGGAAATAAAGATTTGTTCTTATATTGGTTGGTCAACTTTTCCTGCCTATATCTTGCAATATGAACAACTACTTTGAAGATAACAATAACCATTGTTACTCTCCTACTATCTTGTTTTGAAATTTTGTATCGCTATTTTTACTGTTTTTTCTCTTAAAAAATAAAAAATCAAAAAGAATTGGAAAAAATAAAATTCAATTAACCTCGTAATATTAAACACCATCTGTGAAACAAAGGGAAAAAGACTAAAGTGGTCCCATGAAGATTAGGAGTCAATAAAGTCTAAAGAAGGAAGTTTAAATAGGCACTGAGAGCTAAGAATGGATTAGAACAATGAAAGGGGGGAGTGATTATACCATGAAGAAAAGTTGTATATGTGAAGGCTGAAAACAAGAAAAAGAATTAAAGTGATGGGATCATTTTGCTGCATCTAGGACACAATATACAAAATACTAGGCATAGTGACTATAGATACAAATGGAAAAAGTTGAACTGGGTAGACTCATGGAGGTCTTTTGAGTTGGATTATGTAATGTGAACTTTATTCTTTAATTTTAAATGTAAGAGAGGTTACCATCTACTGAATTTATGTTTGGAAGATCCTGCTGGAGACTGGCATTGGTGGGAAAACTCTTTAGAGAGACTGACTAGTGAACAAGTTATTCTGATGATATAGGAAAAGATTATCTTGGGTTGGACTGGAGTAAAGTCATAGGAGATGGAGAAAAATCATCTGATTCACAGTATTTCTAGGACATAAAGTAAAAAGCATTTGTGACTGATTATATGTGGTTAGGAGGGAGAGAAAGGAGGGAATAGGAAAAGATGGTGAGTTGGTTCTAAGCTTCTAGGTTGGGCAACAGAGTCATTTTTATGACTGTGAACAGAAACAGGGAACGTGATTCAGACTGGGAACCAGACATAATCAGCTTAGTTGATACTGAATTTTGAAATGACTTATATGTTGAGTCTGAGAAGCCAGATGAAATTTTACATCCAATGGTCCACACCATTCTTAAATTTAGAGGAGTGGTCTGGCCTCCTTGGGTGATAGAAGCTATGCAAACTAGTAAAACTGCTCATTGTTGCTGCATAGAGAGAGAGGACAGAGCATCTACCTATGTTATAGCCTTAAGCATGTGAGGAGTATAGGACAGGTAGCCTCTCCACTAATCTCATCCTGTTGACATTTACTTGTTTTCAAACACCTCAGGCTCCTAAATGCACATTTAAAAAATGTGGAACTATAAATTCTTCACATATTGTCCATTTCACTTTCTGTTCACAGGCAAGCATCTTAAAAGAGCTTCCTCCATCTGCTTTTTCCATTTCTTCCCAAATTATTCACTCTGCATTCGGCAGTATTAAAAAGTGTTTCTGCCAACACATTCAAGCAGTTCTCAAGGCAACCCATCACCTTATACTTTACTCCTAAGACATTTGGATTCTTTTGGATCTCATTTGGATTCTTTCCTACTACATTGGCTCTTCTAGTTTTTCAAAGAATAACAAATATTCTCTGAAGAATTGCTTGTGTCTTTTTTTCCCCCTTTTGGTACCAGGAATTGAACTCAGGACCTTGCACTTACCAGGCAGGCACCTGAGCTGCTGAGCTATATCCTTGCCATAGTGTCTTATTATTGAAATCAAATTGAAGTTTGGTGTGATTCATTCATTAGTAATTGGACTCAAGTTTCTTTGCTGACACAGCCCTACATTAAGATCACCATGCTACACAGCCTGCTTTCTGGAGGGACAGAAGAAGTGACTGGTAAACAATTAGAGAAAGGGCAGTTTGAGATGAGTGGGAGAGAGGTGATAACCTGTGTTGATCACAAGACTGCAGCTCTCCAAAGTGACCACAAGAGGACAACATTAAAAAGTGAATGACCAGCCTGTCCCAGTGCTGCTCTGGATGCCCTAGAATGATGTGTTCTGAATGTGAGCAGCAGTAGACTTGCCTGTACTTCCGGGCGACTCCATTCCGGTAGCTCTTCTCTTCCAGGCCTGTTATTTCTCTTCTCTCCTATCCCCCAGGCTCAGAAGAATAGTGTAAGATTCTCAGTTTTCCCTGGACACTAGTGTGGAGCTAAGGTTTCAGTTTGCTCCATGGTGACCTTCATAGTCCCTGAGGCCCCCAGAAGAGATACATATGGGTGATGCCCAGGGCTGAGGCACTGACTACAAACCTGCTAGACCTGGAGCAGGGAGGGCAGAGAAGGGAAAATTGTCTTGGCTTTGGGAAGTCTGCACATCAGGCACTGCATAAGGAAGCTGAGTCTTTGATAACACTATCCAGCTATCGGACAGACTTGCCAGCCATCAGCCTTTCCACGTCACGGTAGCCTGGATAGCAGACTAAGTCCAGTGACCTAGCCCAAGTGGAGTTTCTTCAAGTCTCTCTGAGGCATTTTTCAAGCTTCACCTTATTCCTTGGCTAGAACTGCCCAGTTTAGCCTCTTAGTCTTCACTTAAGAAGTGGAGAGTAAGGGGAATTAATTCAACAAGGAAAAATGTAAAGTGTGTGTGTGTGTGTGTGTGTGTGTGTGTGTGTGTGGTGACTTGCAATGAATGATGGTAATTGCTAATGAAGAAAGAAACTGAGAAGCTGGGCTGGAAAGTGAAGTTAGACTCATGCTGTGGAGAGCCTTGTATACAGATCATAAAGTTCTCACTCTGTCTTGAAGGCTAAGAGAATCACCTGCATCTTGCTAAGCATGCTGTGTAGAGGCAGGAGTGTGGAAGATGGAGTTTAATGGACTGGGTTTGGAGTAAGGGGCATGAGCCAGAAGGATTTTTATATACTAAAGGCTTGCTGTACTGAGATTGAGGAAGAGAATATGTGTCAAATAAGAGGAAAGGCACGCCTAGATCAGTTCAAAAACCAAAGTCACAAACAGGGGTGAAAGAGCAGATAAGTCAAGATGGGGCTGGCTAGCTGCCCTGACTTTGGTGACCTGGATGCTGGGTGACACCATTCACTGAGCTCAATACCAGAGCCAAGGTACAGCTTTGAAAGGGGTCTTATTCAGGGGAAGATAATTGTGAGCCTCATGGACAATTCTGGTGGAAATATCAAGCAGATGGTAGTTTATATTTTTGGATCTCAGTACAAGAGCTTAGAGCAGAGGTCAGAAAGAAGTAGGGCCCAGAGTAATGTGAGATCATCAAGGAGAGAGAGTGGAGGAAGTAGTGTGTCTGTGACTACCAGATAGTGATGACAGCTGCATTGTATGATTCTCTCTCCATATATGGAATGCATCTGGCTTCTGTGTCCCACTCCAGCCAGTACAATTTGCTAGTGACTCTCATGAGGGCCTGTGATTCTCATGTGAGTTTTGAGACATCTTGGTGGCAGGTTTGGTTTTATACTTTGTCAGGGAGTGGGAAATACGATTCATTTTTACCATACTTCCTCACTCCCAGGATGTCAGAACAGCTTTCCAAAATTTTCTCTGGTTAAGAATAAAATCACTTAGGGAAAAGGGACTTGTGTTTTTTTTGAAACAAAATTTTGATTATCTGGAGCAAGTCCTGAGGTGGTAGTTGCAACTACTTGAGATGATTATATCAGGAAAATTTGAGAAATGCCATACAGACCTAAATATTAACCTATCTTGAAATCAAGTCACAAATTGTGTCTGTGCCTCCTGGTCAAAACCAGATTATAGTGAGTATTAAAGTCAATCACACACTGAAACTCTGACTCTGGACCTAAATCTATCATAACCCTAACATGCACCAGAAGAGCTAGGGTTACCGTAGAGACCTCTGCACACCTGTCTACATGGATGAGGAGCGGTTAAGAGTGCTGGCTTGGTCAACAACATGAACTTTGAAATTAAAGGACTTTTAAAAATATGTTTAATGAATGGGCATGTACACATGGAGACTAATAGCACTAGAATTGCTTTGTACAACCCCATCCT